TTTATAAAAATCCAGATGCAATCAGTATGTGAAAGATCCACAGTGCTGGCTCCTGAGGACAAGTTCGCTCACCTCCGGGGCTATGGTTCCTCCCCCAGTGATGTCACTCTGTACAGGGACATGTTTCAGGAAGGAGTTCCTATTTGTCACCCTTTGCTTTTTGTCTATTTTAATAAATTCTATAAATTTAGTACACTTTGTGAGGTCCTTTTGCGCTGTGGATTTTCTTTTAGCTGTTGTTATGTTTGCAGCTCCCACTCTTCTACCAGCAGACTGGCAGCATTTGACTAGGGACAGTTTAAGGCTATAATAGCAGCATTGTTCTGTCAAGGTTATTGGGAAAACCTCTACACTAAATGATCATTTATAATTTGTATATATACCTTGTTTTAATATTTAATTTGATTTGCTCTTACTGCAATTTCTCAGTTATGATTGAATACTTGTTAATTTGTATATATTAGAGGTGCACCAAAACAGAAAATTAAAAACTGAAACGAAACCGAAATAAAAAAATTGTCAGGACAAAACCGAAAATGTTTTTATTTAAATTTTTTCACATTTTTAAAATATTTTTATTTATTTTTTATAAACTGGTTTTAATCATTTTTTATGAAATATTTTTATTTTTTACTTTTAAGGGGCTTCTAGGAAATGTTAGGTCTAAACAGACCCCTGATATTTCCTTTTAAAATAGAGATTGAGGACTCTGTGTTCTCAATCTCCTTTTCTGTATCCCCTGTTATCAATGAACAGGAATCCTCTGAGTGTTCCTGTTCATTGATAACATGAGAAAATTGTGTGTTTTTCTATCATTACAACTATGAATGAACAGGAAGTGATGTGATGTAGAGCACTTCCCATTCATTCATATTTGAGGATATAGCAACCATACCATTTCCTCGATTATGTACAAACACTCAGCGATCACTAATCGCTGAGTGTTTGTGCTAGCTTTCCTTCTGACACGCTGTCGCAGGAGGCTGAGCGAGCAGTGTAGGGAGAAGAGCTCAGCCTCCTGTGACCGCGCGGGCTGTCTCCGCCCCCACACCGCTCTGCCGGACTGCGATAGGCGGTTGAGCGGTGTGGGAGGAGAGACGCCAGCCTCTCACAGCGCTCTCCTCCCACAGCGCTCGGCCGGCTGTCCCTTTCTCTATTCCCCGCTGGTACACGGAGCAGCGCCCAGCGGGGAGGAAAGAAAGCAGGGATGCGCCGATGTATCGTCAGCAAAATGGCACTTTCGGCATTTAGCCAAAAGTGCAATTTTCGGCCGATATATGTTTCGGCAGCCGATAAATCGGTGCATCCCTAGTATATATCTTTTACCCTCTTTTTTGCACCTGTCTATTTTTATATAAAGATACAGTATAAGGATAGGATAATTAAGAAAATGTTGCCAAATCAATTTTTTTGCAGTAAGTTTTGGAAAGGGCATACAAGGCAAAAATCATTTTTTTACTTTTCCCTTTTCTAAAAAAAAAAAATCAGTTATAACCTTTTGCATTTTATATAGTTCATCAACTTTGAAAAGCCTAGTGCTAGAATATTTGTTGATCGAAATGTTTATTTTTATAATGTTAAGAACCAGGTGAAAAGACTGGCGACCTGATCACACTTTTAATTAAAACTAGCTGAAATATTTGTTTTCAATACTATGAATTCCGAGCAGTCTCTACCCAAAGTAAAATAAATACCTGTTTCCTCTTTACTCAAATAGTACCTAATTGATCTTTCTACTGTTCACATTTCAACAAAAAGAGCCCAATGTTACCCTTGTTATTCAGCAGTAATGTAGCCCGGCTGAATATACAGTTATGAGCCTGCTGTTTTTTGCTATGGGGTAAAATACCCTCTACTGTAGCACGTAGCAGGGAAGTGTTGCTGCTCTCACATGGAAAGCACTGACCTGGCTGTCCAGTGGAACACCCAGCTTAATATATCTTGAAGGAAAAGAAATGCCTGGGATTGTGTCATTTAGAATAATATTTATTATCCCCAGTGATAAAGTGTAGCTAGTTGTGTGTGATTATTTGTGTGTGTGTGTGTGTGTGTGTGTGTGTGTGTTTGTTATACTGGCCATAGAAAACAAATTGCATAAAGTTTTGATTAGAAAATGCAAACCTTTTGTTTCTATGGGCCTTTTTACTTTTTTTTTCTAGTTCTTTTTTTACCTGCTAGCAACACAGTACTGTGCAAGTAAGACTTTAGTACAAAGGAATTGTGTATTTTTAGTTATATTTAGTGAGTAATTTATTGCAGAGAGTGGATATCATTATATGCTATATTGCTGTATACTCTCTGCTACACACTGCTAAGTTATTCCATTTTGTGGCCCATTCATACAATGCAGGCATCATTGAGATATTTTTGCTTTACTCAACAAAGATCTCCATGGTTTTGGTATAGGTTAGTCAAATGACAGTGGACAGGTTGTATGACCAGGCTCTCATCCCCGCATTTGTTTTGGTTTTCTCATTTTATTATAGAAACCCCAAGCACATTTGTAAATCCCATGGCTGTACTTTATAATTATGGCATGCTTTTATTTTTTGAAAAGCAGTGTTATGGCCTTGTTAAGATCACAGTGCTGTTTTAAATGGACTCCTTAGTGTAATAAAGTGAAAGCTAATGTTTATAGCACTAATACTCAGGTGCTGGCTCCTGCACTGTGCTTTTGCTTAGTGAGTTCACCCATGAAATGTATCAGGCAGTGGCATGAAGCAGAAGGTAAGGGGCTTGCCAAAGCATTTTTTTTTAAGTTTGGTATTTGCATAACAGGAAAAAGTTTCATCAGGAACAAAATATTACTAAATTAAAATGCAGGAATCAGAGGGTGATTGAAACAGTGTCCATTCTGCACTTTACTCTACTAAACCTTGATGCAAACTAGCAGTAAGGGCAATATGAATATTTATTGTATTTAAAGGGAACCTGTGATGAGAAGAATTTTCATTTTAAATGTTAAATTATTAAGCTTTAATAGTTTTCAGAAAGCAAACTTTCTGTGCATAATATCAATTCTCTCATAAGCACCTCATGGCAAAGGTCACCTGGTTATGAACCCCAGTCTCAATGTTTTCATTATCTAATTTTTTGCAATTTCAAATTGACACTGGGATATACATGGGGTCAAATGTTTTTCCTATCCACTGCCTTGTCAGTACCAGGGAGAGGCACAACTAAAGCTGCTCTGTACAACTGCATTGCTTACTTTACTTTAGATGCTGGAAGAATGGTTTTGCCAGCTGTGGACATCTCCTAACATCGGGAGCTGTTCAGAATATAGGAAAGGTTTCTATTTAGAACAGCTCCATAGGCATCTTACCAATCAATTTTCATCAGTGACTAATGTTCTTACTGTGTCCTAAATAAGCCCCTCCATGGACCAGCAGTGAAATATTTCCTTCCAGATACACCCTATTTTAAAAAGACCCTGAAATAAAGGAAAACTACATATATGACCCTGTTGTGCATCCAGGTGCCTACATGCCAGGCCAGTTTTCCAATGCAGGACCTAGAATGCCCAAATATGTTCTAGATTTCCTGGTCAAGAGCCTGGCTGCACCCACTCTTTCCTCCTAAGTATTTGTAATATTTCATGACTGTAATAAGTCGCCTCACTGGCCAATAGTCATGTTTAGAAAGAAATGTTTTTTCTTCACTTCAGGGTGACATCAATTTGTCATTAGGTAAGCATTAATCAAGCAGCAAAAAGCTACAAGTATAAGACATTATATACCCACTGCAGCAAAAATATACCAAGATGTTTTGAAGTTTGAAAAAGGTAGCTCTTATTGCAAAAAATATTTAGTAACTCAGTTGCATATGCTTGAAAACGATCCGACGGAAAAAGTAATTGAAGTTGTAATGAATCAGGCCTTTTATTTTGTTTAACAATCACACTAGCACACTTCTTGTCATGTATTTAGCTTTATTTTAATACATTAATATGTGTCTTATAACTTTTGATAATAGTACTCCTAAGTTGGTCTAATTTATCTGTAAGCAATGTGAAATGAGAACTTGAGACATAGCACAAACATAAGGAATACATATGTTAAATGAATAACTATTTTTGCTTTTCTGCTTTCCTTCCATTAAGTTTTTGGTCCTATAACAGACAAGGAAAACTTTTCTAGACACAGTGCTCTTCCAGGAATTGTTCAATCGCATCTCACCCTCCAAATGTTTGGATTAGTGCTTGCAGTCACAAGTTGGGAACTGCTCTGTAATCTTCAGTAGAAGCACTGCAGCAGTTCCCAATCTAAAACAAACATGGAGTGTTCATAACACATTTTACACTAAACCAGTCTCAATGTGCTTGTTTATTTTAACTAATCATAAAGTAGGTCCTTTTTATCCCTGCCCACAAGCACAGCAGAGTAACTTGATGTATTGATAAACCATCTTGAGTTTAACTAAAAATAAACAATAAAGGTGATCAGCGCCAGTGAGTGTAATGTGGAAATAAGAGCTACCAAGCACAATCTTGAGTTTAAGTTCATAATCTCAAAGGTAAAAATACAACTTAAGGAATTTAGAAAAAACATTTTCTAATTAATTAGGAATATTTGATTGCATATATAATACATTTGAATATGAAGATATCAGAAATCGTTTTGTCTCCTGTAAAATACAGTATGGGACTGATGTATTAAGGGTTTGCCCAGGGTATAGCTGGGCGAACACCGGTCACACGGCATAGCTGCAACTATATGGAGCTGAGGAGCATAGGATTTCTTATGCTCTGTGGCCCCATCTAGCAGCAGCAGTAATGCAGTGTGAACGATGCTTGCCCACTCATACGCTGGCTGAACCCTTTATACATCAGCCCCTATGTGTCTTCAGTAGCTCTAAATATCATACATCTAAGATTATGGAAATTTCTCTTGTATATGTATGCATACAGAAGTAAGTTATTTGTAGTGTTATGGTATATTTTACCTTCATTCAAATAATATTTTGAAATGTTAATATTTGTGTTTTTTTTTATTTTTTAGACAAGCTGTTGGTTTTAACTGTTGCAACTCAAGAAACAGATGGCTTCCTTCGATTCATGCAATCTGCTAAGCACTTTAACTACATTGTGAAGGTATGTCATTTCTCTAGAATTTACTTATGTATGAATGTGAGTTTTATACAGGAATCTCAGGCATTGCACAATATTACATCTGCATTTCCCACAGATCTCTTAATAATTTTGTAAAACATATGAATTTCCTGCCATTGTAGAGGAAAGTACTTATAAAGCCAGCCCTTGCCTAATATGAAACAGTTTTCCATATCTATTGTTTTCTTACCAATGTAGAAAGACTTGCTGGTTTCCCAGAATTTTTCTTTTTATATAGTCAGGGCAGAAAGTGTGGTCGGTAGGATAATTTAATAAGATACAGTAGGCATTCTTTGCCCTCAAAAGTAATTGTTTTTACTTGCTTGATCCTTGGATTTGACTATGGTCAAGTTAGAAAGCCTTGAAAAGCTTTATGGTACACTTGAGTCATATCGGTGATGTTTACTGACCTGGTACTAGGGATTGCTGCATGTTGCTTTCTACAAATCAGCTTTGTGCATTCTTGATATATTCTTGATATATTCATGATAACATTTTTTGTTTATCACTCAGAACTTGACAAACCTTGGTTGAACCAAGTTATATGCGTGTAAACATTTAGGAAAATCTAGGAAAATGGAGTTGAAAGGGAACATGTGGTTCAAGAATGAAGCTGGAGATGCCATAAGCTATTAAAAACATGCATCTACAGTATGTTTTAAATTAAGTCTACCTGTGGTGGGCAAAAACTTTGAACATTTGTCACTGTGAAGCATTATGAGGCACCTTCAGGTACCTGTGGTCATGTCAAATAATTTTTTTTAAAGATTGCCTTAGGTGCCACTAAACTCAGGGTACTTTTATGTAGACCCTAATTTCAACTTGGAGGCTGTCACAATTCCCATTGTGGGCTTAAAAAATACTCGCTCTGTCAGACTATAACTTCAATACAAATTATCTACAGTAACTAAACATGAGATTGTAGTCCATCATGGGAGCAGGCTTGGAGTGGATTCTACTTTACAACACACACAGGGACTATGGAGAACAAAAGTAGCCACCCTCCAGAATGAAGGACACTGCCAGTATGGATACAGAGATGACATGAGGACCTACAGCCGAGTGATACACAAATAAGCTACATTTGTGTTATTAGTTAGGGTACCAAGTAATGGTAAAGTCACGATGGTAAGTTTTATCTACAGATGATTTTTGAGATATAGTGAAGCATCTAGATTTTTTATTCTGAGAATAGTTTGTCGGGTAACACATTTTATAATCTAAAATGGCACATGCTTTTAATGGACTGTATATCTCAATTTTTTTTATTTAAAAACAAAAAGACTTCTGCTTTAATCCACTCACCCCACATTTTTGTATTAGTATAAATTAGTTGTGGTCTATTGAACTGCATTGCACATGCACTTTAAGCCCCATCATGTGTGCAATTAGTCTGCTATCACTGTAACATATTGCACTCTGAGCCTCACCCTGCATGGGGAGCTGAAAAAGGAAGGGGGCAACTACAAATGAATGTTCATGGTTTTGGAATAGTATTCCCGTTAAGCTCATATGGCTCTGATGGTCAGATTTATATGCAGCAATACACTGGGAGGAACATTTATAAAATTAACCCCTACATTTTCAATTTTTTTTTCAATAATTGTGTCTAATTGTTCACATAATGGAAGAAAATAGAGAGGTTAATAAAGGTCTCCCTTCCAGGAAGCACAAAATGTACCAGAATGAAAAACCACCTGGAAGTTACTGTATATGTGAATTGTGCTTTTGGAATCGTCTTTATCAGAGAACATTTACTTGGAAACACATTAGTCATTGGCTTAAGCCTTCATTTTTATTCTTATGTCTCTGATGTATCATTTAAGTACTAAATAACCCAAAATGTGTTTTTATTTGTGGCCTGGCCTGTAATCAAGTTATGATTCTATACTTCAAAAGCTATATTAACTTATAAATGTGTTTCTGATCTTTTTCCTAGGCTCTAGGCACAGGACAAGAATGGAAAGGAGGAGATATATCAAATTCAATAGGAGGAGGTCAGAAAGTACGCCTGTTGAAGGAGGCATTGGAAAGCTTAAATGACCAGGAGGACCTTATAGTCCTTTTCACAGACAGGTAACTTTTTCAGATTTTTCAAAATGTTTATTTCCTGGAGGATGTTTTTTTTTATCCGAGAGGAGAATGTTCTTTATATCTCTGCAGTGGAGATATCTCCATGCTAGAGTTACTGAGGTTGCCCACTATAATTTAGAAAAACAAATCAATGACATGGGTTTCTATTCTCCAAATAACATGTTTACTACAGTTGTTAAAACATGTTCAGTAGTTTTATTACCTACTGACTTAACAACATGTTTTAGTTTTTTGGAATAAAGCGGAGAAAACTTGTACAGGGATTTTATGTGAATTCCCAGAGAGTGCAGTCTTGAAAAGGGAAGCCAAAATCTAATTGCAAAAAGGTGACCTTCTAATCACAGAGTAGTACAGTAGTAGTGCTGTCCTATGATAATGCAAACATCTAAGTCTCAAATTTTTTTGCTAATTTCTTTAAATTTTCACAACAAAGGCATATAGTTACATTTAGAAAGATAAAGATATTGGTAAAACTATTTTAGTTTAGAGATTTCTTTACACCTTAGAGGATAACCGCTGACATTTTTTAAATCTATTCAACATGTGTGATTCTTTTTTTGTAAACCAATGTGAAATACTGATGATTTCCAATCTCGCAACCCAAAAGTATACTTTTGATCTTAACCAGTTGACATCCGCGGTGTTAAACCCCCTTCCCATCCAGGCCATTTTTCAGTATTCAGCGCTGCGCTACTTTGATTGACATTTATTCCGTCATGCAGCGCTGTACTGAAATGAATTTTATACCCTTTTTTGGGGACAGATAGAGCTTTCTTTTGGTGGTATTTATTCACCACTGGGGTTTTTATTTTTTTACTATATTAAGGAAAAATTACCGAAATAAAAAAAAAACAGTTTTCCCTATAATAAATGATAAAACCATTTATTATTACCAAATTTTTTGGTAAAATATAAAAGACACCAAAAATGTCAAGCCTTAAAATTGCGTGCGCGTGCATATGGAGGGCTAAGATGAGGGCTATGGAGCCGCTGATCGCCTATATGTGAAACACCCGGTAACGCGCCAATGCTGCAGTGCCGTCCGTCTGTTTTTTTACAACGGGCGGACGGCAAGAGGTTAAATATATTATAAAAAACTAAAACATTTAAATTGATATTCAATATACAACAACATACAGCATTTTTTAAATCACAAATAGAACTGTCACACCAATCTCTGTCTGCTGGAACCTGGCTGTTTCTTTTCACAGATCTGCACTAGCAATTTAAAGAATTTCTATGTTTCTCGGTGTGATGCCAAAATGGGGAAAAGGTCTCCTTAACTGAGGCAAACTTTGTCATTGGACTTTACAGCACTGTTTTTGCTAATATCACACTTGTGGGGTATCCTTGTAGTTAGGTTTTGCCACATACTGTATAGTTTGAGTTGTATGTGTTCTGTAATATTTATTGTTCCATTAATTTGCATTCTGAAAAAAAGATGTAATACATTACAATAGACTACACATACAAAAAGTTATTTGGTGTCTAACTAGGCATGTTCAGATACCAGTATCTATATCTGTGCCGATACTTGGTATTTTCACAAGAACTACCAGGGTTGCAGCTGTGACTGGGCCCTGGCGTTCCAGCACTGTCCTGAAATCATTAGTCTGTATTGTTTTAGAAAACATGACACTAAAGAAAAATAGTACATGGGCAAGTATCAGTACCTGTACTTGGTGTGGAAAAAAATGGTATTGGTGCATCCTTAATAAATAAATAAATCAAATAAATATATATTCATACAGATCATACATACATTAAAACAGGATTGCACCAATCCCAGGAGCCGAGTAACCAACTCTCCGTAAAATTAATATAACAGCTGCCTCCTAACTTTCCAGTTTTTCTCTAGGCTAGTAGCCGGAAGAGTATTTGTACTTGTAGGCTGAGGCTGGGGAATTTTTGTGTTTTAGTATTTGTACTTGTACCAAGTACGGTACTTGGTATCTGTGTAAACCAACACTTCCTGTAAAAAAAATGATATCTACCCATGCGTGGTATCAAGCTTACTGAACAATTGGCCCCCTCCACTTCTAGTACTTCCACACACTACCCAGACCATTCTGAGTTTTAAAAAAGTGCTTCTGATAATAGGAAATCATGTCACTCCTATCTCTACTCCCACCGTACAAATACAAAAAGTTATTTGGTGTAAACCAACAGTTCACCAAAACTTAGAAAATGATGACGGTTCATGCAAAATATCAGGCTCACTGAATAGTTTCCCCCCTCCACTTCTAGTAATTCTTTATACTCTCCAGACCACTCCAATAGAAACCCATTCTTCTGAGTATAGGAAATCTTGTCACTCACTCTTTCCTCCCACCATACACTCCTATGTGCCTGAGCAGCCTATCACCAGGTTGGAACATTGTCACATAGAGGATCTTTAGCCCTGTGTAAGGTATGACAAGATCACATACTTGCATAAACATTTTTGGAAGGCTTCGGTGTGCGATTGAAAGATACATACCAGCACGGGGATGAGTTGCTGGACAGCAAACCTTTTTACTTTTACCCTATATTGGCAAAGAACAGGTTTCCCTTTAGTGTGTAGGATTAAAGTGGTTATTAAATATATAACTGGACAAAAGATTTTGGTTTTTTTTTGTTTGAACTTCTGACTTAAAGCTGAGTTCAGTTGATGTATGCCAGAGGGATGCTCTTATTTTCTCAGTTCTAATTTTAAACATGTCCATTTGCTGGTTGCATGCATTGTTTTCCTTTATGTTAGTGTACTTTTACATTTCCTGGTTTATTTCAGCGATAATTTCATATTTTTTTTGCTCTGTTAATTGTCAAAATAAGTATTCTTAGAAGTACTATATAATATACTAATATTCTTAGAAGTACTGGAAGAGACAAAGTGAACAGATCATTTTGGGTTACCTTAAAGCATTATAGGCGTTTATAGCTAAGAGCTGGAAAAGGCATATGTCTAACATATGTCTAACATTTCATTAGCTTCTTTTTATTTGATGAGGACCAATATGCTGTAAGCTGCACAAAGGAAGGGGATGCCCATTGCATGTTCTTTGTATACAGATACCAATGCTTAGAAAACAGAATCTGTCAGACAAAGCAGGCAGCTTAGTCAGATACATTTAACAGATCACTAAAGAGATCATATATTTGTTAATAGATATTAATTTATAGTAGTGCCTACTAGGCAGCATTTTTGATTAATTCCACACCAAATGGAAAGCTTCTCCAATTCACTTTGTTAAACATCTGTATTTTGTTAAAAATGTGAGCTCATGAAAATAAAATCCAGCTATTTGTCTAGATTAAAAGACTTATAAACATACATCTTGGATCCTGAGATGATCTGAAAGCGCTTTTATATTTCCATGTGCTGATTTACTAATGTCTGTTTTCTAATAAATAAAAATTAGTATACTTGGATCTCATAGCCAAGTTTGTGTTAGAAATTCTGATCTATAGTAGTGATGAGCCGAACACCCCGGTGTTCGGTTCATATTCAAACTCAATGCAAGTCAATGGGGATCGAACGTTTGAAAATGAATGTCCCCTTTTAAGAGGACTTATATGCAAGGTATTGGCCATAGATGGTGTATGGGGGTCCGGGTACTGCCCTGGGGGATAGGAATCAATGTCAAATAAAAAAACAACAAAAAAAATGTTTTTAAAGGAACAGTAACAGTGATTTTAATATCACTTAAAGGGTTAAAAAAAATGAAAAATTCCTTCAAATATTATGCCTGAGGGGTCTCCTTAACCTGCCTGTGAAGTGGCGGATCTATAGGATGTATAGAACCTGCTGCAGCAAAAAAAAAAATACTTTTTTTTTTCTTTTAAAGTGTGCAGTTCCCCCTCCCAAATAATATCCTTTTAGAACTGGTAGAAATGTTAGGAGGGACCAATTTTTTTTTAATGTGTAGGGTTCCTCCTAAAAATCATACCAGGCCCTCAAGATCTGGTAGGAATATTAAGGAGGGACCCCATGTAAAAAAAAAAGTGTGTGGGGTTCCCCCTAAAATTCCATCCCAGCCCCTTGATCCGAGCATAGGCCTGGCAGGGCCGGAAAGGGGGGGGACGAGCGAGCGCCCCCTCCCTCCCACACCAGGTAACCAACCCTGACCCGGTAGTTGTGGAGGTCTGTGGGCAAGGGGCTTATTTGCATCGGGGTACCCCTTTAATTAAGGGGGCACCCAGATGCCGCCCCCTCCCTTGTGAATGAGTAAGGGGTACTTGTACCCCTACCCCTTCACTAAAGGGTTAAATAAAATGGTTATTGAAAAGTCCAGGCTTTTGATAAAATCCTCTATTTTGAAAAAAAAACAAGACGTGTTTTTGACAAGTCCTTTTATTTAAACCCGCCCCCCCCAAAAAAAAAATCAATGTAATCAATGGTCAATCACAGCTTCCAGCATTGTCCATGACAACGACGAAATAAAAAATAAAACAATAAAAAATAAAGAGAAATATTTTTTTTTTAAAACCCGCCGTCCCGTCTGCTCCCGCCGCATAATGCATTTTGTCAGATGCCGGAAAAACATACACAATTGGGCGGAGCTAGCTGTGACAGCTAGCTCCGCCCAATTATGTAGTTTTACCAACATCTGATAGGCAGGCCATCATGACTTTGCCCAATCATGGCTCTAATTCAATACTGAGCCCTGATTGGGCAAAGTCTTTAACAAATCAGAGCTTCAGAGGGCATCTTGCCTTATGGAATGTCCGCTGTCGAACAAACTGCGAACATCCCATAAAGTTCGGCGAACGCTCGAACTGCCAATGTTCGAATCGAACACTCGGCTCATCCCTAATCTATAGTAGTCTAAAACATGAACGCTTTAAATGTAGCGTTCTACTATTCAACATAACTCCAAGTACCCCTGTAATTGACCTTATTAGTGTGCTAGTAATCATTTTTGTCTTAACAAATAGTGATGGGCTTGGGAGGATATACTTTGTAGTTGGCGAGGGCTGTTTTATATTAGAGATGACAGTTG